CCAATTGATTACAAAATCTTTCTTCACATAAAATTGAAATAATTGTTGCTAGATCACGTTTAGATTGATCAAGACTAGTTTCATTTAGAATTTTGTTAACCTTTACTCACTTTTTAGTTAATTCAAAATCTTTATCATTATCGTTATTATTATTAAATTTCTACAAATATAAATTTAAATTATAAAATTATTAAAATAAATTATGAATTAATTTTAAATATAATACCTTAGATTTTTTGCTTTTACGCTTATTAGAAGTAATTGATATATTTGATAGCATAGTTGCTATAATAAAAACTTCTTTTTGTTTTGTAGTAAATATAACAAAATCATCTTCATTAGTAATTTGAGTTTCAATGCCTGTTTCTTGTGTAACTTTATATGCTAAAATATAATCCTTTTGATTTAATTTAAAGTTATTTGTTAAACTTTGAATTTGCAACTGCATTTCTTCGTGAAATTCCATATATGATTGAGCATTAAATGATAATCGTTTAGCTAGAAAAGCAATTCTATTTTGTTCTTTTATATATAACTTTATCATAAATTTTGATATATACTCTTGATCTTCATCTTCATTATTGTGAGAATTACTATTAAATATTTCATATAGAATTAATTCTTCATAATTTGAAGCAGTAGATATATTATCATCATCAAGAGATATTGTTTCTTGATAATTAGTTGTTAAAATCGGCTTTTCTTTATAATTAGAAATAGTGATATTATTATTACTGCTATTTTCATAATTAGTAAATATATCATTATTAATAGATATATTATCATCAAAAGACATCGTTCTTTGATAATTGGTTGTTAAAATTGACTCTTTTTCATAATTAGAAATAGTAATATTATTATTATTACTAGTAAATACATCATCATTAATAGATGTATTATCATTAAAAGACATCACTCTTTGATATTTGATCATTGAAATTGGCTTTTCTTTATAATTAGAAATAGTAAGATTATTATAATTACTATTCTTATAATTAGTTAATACACTAGGAACCGGAAACTGGTATGCGTCTGGAGCATAATTAGCTATTACTAAAAACTAAAAACTAAATTTTAATACTTATTGTATAATAGAAAAAATTTAGATATTA